CTTTTTTTTTTTTTTTTTATAACAGAAGTTGCCTAACTGGATTACTGTGTTCCGTCCTCCTTCCCTCTCTCACACACTTTTTTTTTTTTTGGCAGATATATTTCTGTATTTGAATGAAACAAAGTGCATGCCAGTTATATCCTACAGCTGACCGGTCGTGGTTTTTAAAAGGATGTGACATCAATGCAGCTTTTATGTTGGGGAACTGCTGAGTTTGTCTGTTACGTTCAGGACTGACTGATGATTTTCATATTGCTGAGTGCATGTTCTCGCGTTACACAGGTAGGACTTGGCTCCACAGGTCTGCGACCTGAAGCATCCAGCAAGACTACCGGACTCCCCACTGGCTCCATACGTCACATGTGTAGCTAGGCATTCCCGTTCTCAGAGGAATCTGCACTCTGAAGGTGTCACACAGATCTTGTTTCCAGGTTGCAATGGATGCTGGAAGAACAGATGGAGGTAGCGATGCCCCTCAGGACAGTAGAGGCCAGTTTACATCACCGGTCACCTATGTTTCAAATTCTTTGATGAGTGGTGAGTATATTTTATCTCTGTTGGTAAAGTCATGGGAACATAGACATATATGCTTGTGTATGCAAAGCTCCCTCAAGAAAAGCCTTGTGGTTAGGCATCTGCCTGGCCTCGCTTCATATGCACTTCCAGGATTTGTGCAATCATTCCCGGACTATTCGCATGCACAGCAAAAGGCTTGAACCCTTCTGCATGGGGAGAAGGTAATGTTTGGCAATCAATTGCAAGGGTTTCCTAACGTATTCCTGACAGTCTGAAAGGCTCATTATCATCCCGATGTTAACCTGGTCTTAAAGTGACACCAAACTCAGGAGTTAAATCTCAAAAATGCATTCAAGTGCCTTAACTATTAACAAATATGTATCTTATTTGTGTATCACTCGGCTGTAGATCCTCCAATCATCTCTGACCTTCCTTCTGAATGGTGGCTACTTTTGTTCCCCATGGTCCCTGTGTGTGTTGTAATGTAGCCACCGATCCAAGCTTACTTATCATGCTGATCTATAGTATTCTGACAGCGGCCGCCAGCTGCTGTCAGAATACCCGCACAGAGCCTGCAGCTCATTGGCTACTGGCTCTGTTCATACAAAGATTTTTCGTCCGGCTCCTTCGATCAGCCGATTGAGGGATGCCGGTACTCACTGTGCGAATTTCGGCCAGTTCCTCAAGTACCTTAACTATTAACAATACTGGACCTTATTTGTGTATCACTCAGCTGTAGATCCTCAAATCATCTCTGAATTGGTGCTGACACTGTCCTTCCTTCTGGAGTGTGACTTATTTTGTTCCCCATGGTCTGTGTGTGTGTGTGTTGTAAAGTAGCCACCGCTCCAAGATCACTTCTGTGATGGACTAAAATCTCAATACAAATAACTAACTAAACATGAGATTGTATTGTCTGTAAAACCATGGGCAGCAAAAAATGCAATTTTAAGATTTAACTCCTGAGTTTAGTGTCACTTTAAGCTATTTCAAATGCTGATTAAATCACTTACAATGGATGCTGCTCCTTGATGTGTAAAAGTTTTATTTTCCTGCAGAATTAGCTGGTCTCCTGAGCACTGGCCCTGATATGCTGTTTTAGGGTGGCTCCTTTCCCTTGCAAGGTTCCATGGAGCCATCCTTGTGAGTGCCAGTAAGCTGTGTGTGTCTCAACAAACACACAGGCTCAGTAAGTCAATCCACCCCCTGTTCCCAATCCTTCCTCCTCTAAGCTGGATGAACAGTTGCTGGAGACTGCTCTGTCTCTTGTAGTCTTGTACTGGACAGGAAGTTCAGGGAAGCCAAGTTGAGAGAGTTGGAGCTGTTCGGAAACATGATAACTGTAAGTGCTTTGACAAAAATGTAAAGAAATACTTAGCTGGGCAATATATATATATATAGATTAAAAAAACTTCCTCAAGGACGCCTCTTGCTGGTTACAAGTTATAAATATGAATAAATAAAAAATATTTAATTTACTAAAAATCTATTATCAAAAATGTTTATATTTAAAGTAGATTTTTAGTAAATTAAATATTTTTTTATTTATTCATATTTATAACTTGTAACCAGCAAGAGGCGTCCTTGAGGAAGTTTTTTTTAATCATTTCTGCTAAGTAATTTTAATACCATGCAATGAATTTCCTGGTGTAAATTGATCTCCTGCTATTTTGTTTTATTCACAATCCACGCTCGGTTGAATGACTCAGAAAAGAGACATGGCATCTCACCTTCATCGCTCAATAAGATCTTCAGTTAGCCAGAGGAAGTCATAGCCGAGATTTGTTATTAGAAAGCTCATTGCACTCTGCAAACAAAGTGCTGTAGAAGAAGCCTGTGTTATAAGTACAAGAAATATTTTGAACTTGTGAATATGAAAAAATGGAAGTAAAATGATCAGAAACTATTATAATTCCTCTTAAAGGTTTTACCTTTTACCCAGTGGTGTCAAAAGGAGGATGCGGGGGGTGGGGCCCACACTGAGTGACACCATCAGAGGGAGAGACACCAAAATGACCCACAGTCATTTTCGTGTCACCTCCTCTGAAAAGTCAAGCAGTGGGACATGGACCAAGAGCCTGACAGTTGCACGAGAGAAGAGGAGATGGCGGCATACCTTATCCCGTCGAGTAAACATCCCCTCCTCTCTTTGCTGGTGTCCATCACCAAGATGGGCGCCGGCAGGGAAGCGCCAGTGATGTCATGTGCGTCATGACATCACAGCGGGGTGTCACCTGGCAGCCGCTCCAGGTGACACCACACCTACGGACCTTCCTGGATTTACCTCCATATCCTTTAGACTGGATTTACACCTTTGTGCTCAGGGGAAGCTAAACCCAGCGTAATGCCACATCCCCAACACACCGCAAAGGACCTGTGTTTTAGCATGAACCATCTGTGCTTTGTGGTGCAGTGGGAAAAAAGGTGCAAGCGGATTGTCCTGCGTTGGCAACCCATTCAAACTTTCAAAGTTTGGATAGAATGGGGGAGAGTTAGGATCCCTGACAGGTTTTTACTGCTATCTTTACCCTTATAACTCTTTAATTGGGCTTAAAAATGAACTCTGGGCACAAACACTTAAATTTCAATATTTTTCTTAATAGCCACAAAGAATAAAAAAAAACTTTGTGCATCTTTACAAACCTTGTAAAAGTAGCAGTGACATAATCACTGTGCTGTATATAGCCTATATAGGCAGTAGAACTGTGCGAGGGGCCCAGCAGGCTCCACCTACTACAGACTGCCTGCAGAAAACTACAGGAGGGTGCAGATACAAGACCAGTCACCTTGCACAAGCAGAGAGAGCATCAGTGACTGGTCTTTATTACAGGAAGCTGCTGCACAGAGGCAAATTTTCAAATTGGATTACTGCACAGATCTGGAAATAAAATATACAAAGCACACTGAGATTCCAGGAAGAATGCACATGGCTCTTCAGCTTGAAAACTATTTTTTGACTTGATATACTCTAACGTACAAGTGGTAACACACCAAAGAGGTCCAAATCTGACCTTATTTTCTGGGAAAATGACATGAATAGTCTGATTGGTCATTATAAGTGAGCTCTGCTCTTTACTGGAGAACTTCGTTTTCTCCAGTTTAAAAATGGCAGTGAAATAGTTAACAATTTTTATCCCAGTTTAATGAGCCACTTACGACTTTTTTTCCCCTGAAAAATCACAGAGTGTTTGTTGTTTTAACACATGCACTATTTATTTTACGCGCTGCTAATCATTCTGTATAGGTAAAGTATAAACTCATGTGACAGCTGCTACAGTCAGCAGAATCAAGGAAAACAGACACATATTGAGGCAGCAGATAAGCAGCACCCAGATCTGTGGTGTGCATAGCTTCCTGTGAATGACTTCTTCTGGAATTGTTATACCTTTTATAAAACGTTTTGGTAAAAGCTACAGCTGCTGATTTTTCTCTACGCCCCGTTCACACCTTTGGCTTTGTGATTTGAAAAAGAACTCAAGGAACACATTTTTCTTAACCCTTGCAGCGGGGTTACCACACACTGCAAGGGTTAGCTGCTCCTTTTTGTCTAGGTTCAAACAAAAAGTTATACTCACCCAATGCTTGGTGGCTTGCAATTATTATTATACAGGATGTATATAGCGCCAACAGCTTGCACAGCACTTTACAATATAAGGAAGACATTACAGTCACAATACAACTCAAGACAAGATGGTAAGGAGGGCCCTGCCCGTGAGGGCTTACAATCTAAAAGGGGGGGACAAGTGATACATGAGGAGGTAGCTGTGTGGGGATGAATTGTTTGAGAACGTGATGGTTTAGCGGTTGGGTTGAGGTGGGATAGGCTTCCCTGAAGAGATGAGTGTTAAGGGATCGCCAAAAGGCAGTCAGGGTGGGAGATAGTCGGACAGGTTGGGGTAAAGAGTTCCATAGGATGGCAGAGACTCTAGTGAAGTCCTGGAGGCAAGCATGGGAGGAGTTGACGAGGGAGCTGGAAAGCAGTTCCTAGACCGGTCCCTCCAACCTCTCTCCCCCTCTGCTTCAGCGGTCTAAGGTCCTGTAAATCATCACATCTGTACATGGTGTATATAGATGTGAGGATGCTGAGGAAGATTCCAATGCTGCAGCGGAGGAGTGCTGTGACAGCTGGTGGATTTGGAGCTTCGGGTGAGTATATCTTTTTATTTTTTTAAATAAGCACATAACCCTTGCAGTGCAGGGGTAGCGCCACTGCAAGGGTTAAGATATTTTTTTCCTGGAGTTCTGCTTTAACACGTATTGCCCAACGCACATCAATGCATGCATTTTTGTGTTTTATTGCATGACAACAAGCCCCCACCCCCTAGCAGCCTCTACTTTATCTGACTTTTATTAGCCAAACACAATAAAAATGTATGCCAATGCGCATCAGCATGCGTGGATCAAAAACTAAAAAATGGCAGGAAAATGCAGACACGATGATGTGATTCTAGTTTTAGATTGCAGTCCCAGAAATGCAAATGAAAAAATACTACTATTCACTAGGGATGCACTGATAAAAAAATTTCCAGACCGAGTATGAGTACCGATACTTTTTCTCAAGTACTCACAGATACCAATTACCGATACCTTTATTTTAATGTCATGTGACAGTTTTAAAAAAAACAATACAGTCTAATGATTTTAGGACAGTGTTGGAGCGCCAGGGCCTGGTCGCAGCTGCAACCGCTTTGACTCTGGTAGTTCTGCCACTGACTCCAAGCTGTAGAGGGACTACAAATCCCAGCAATACATTATACAGCAATGCAGAATGGCAATGGCTATAGAGAACTACAAATCCCAGCAATACATTATGCAGCAATGTAAAATACCATGAGGTAAAGAGGACTACAATCCCAGCAATGTAGAATAATACGAAGCTACATACTCTGAGTTGCTCCGGGGTGGCGGCCTGATGTCTGCAGGGTACCATGTGGCCTGTGTGTGGTCTCAGGAGGGCTGTGTAGGGTCTTAGGTGGGCAGTGCGGGGTCTCAGATAGGCTGTGCAGGTTCTCAGGTGGGCT